AAAGTTATTTCTTTTAGCACAAAGTATCACGTCCTGTACTCCTAATCCGTGAATTTTGGGATACCCTGTATAGTTGTGATGATGGCAATAGTAAATGATTCGATACGATTAAATTTTTTTTTATGATATATTTAAAGTGTAATCGTTAACTGGATTAATAATGTTAATGTTTTGAACAATTTTTATAGAAACTGGAACGAATAAGTTTTTCAATTTTATAACTAACTGAGTCACATAGTAACATTATCACTATTTTATTATGATTTATTATTATGAGAATTTAAAGTAATATTTAAATAAAGAAATCAAAAGGAGCCACGATCCAAGCTAATTGTAAGTTTTAATATTAGTGGTCCGATACTACACTTTGTACATTATATCCCAAGTAGCAAAATGACGATTAAAACGATGACAAATTTTGATCATAAAATGACTAATGCGACGTCATAAATTAGACCTAAATTGGTCGTCAAAAACTTGAAAATGACGTCGTTATGTCACATCCACCGGACGTCATTTTCTGACGTCATATTAATAGCTAAAAAAGACCAATATGTGACGTCAGTTTTGGATCTCGGATAGCATTTGTTTATTAAAATTTTTTTAAAATCTGCATTAAAATTATTTTCATTTTATATAGAGTCAACTATATCCGATCTATTTTCTTAAAAAAAAATTATGTAAGGGAGACTGAGGTTAGTTGTTACCACGAGGTAAGTTATTACAGTTAGTTCTTTTAATTACAGATTTTAGATGTGATCCTTATAATATTCTGTTGGAATATTAATTTTTAAAACACCGCGCTTTCAATATATTAATAAATAGCGCTGCGATCGAAAAGACAGGTGGCTTCGACACGACGGTGGGCCGCGAGCAATTAACGACGTTTCCGGCAGCTCCAAAGTTAAGCACGTGGCATAGCTCCGCGAAGCAAATTAATAAGTTATAGAATAAGTTTTTTTTTATCAGCTACCTCGGCAGATATCCGAGCTATGATTTTTTGCGATTCAAACTGTTTCTCTGTATTTTTTTTCTCTCTGTTTGATTTCGTGCTTATTTCTGTTAGTGTTAATTTTCTTTAACGAAAGTATTTATAATAAAAGGGTGTTGTAATAACCAAGCACGTGTTCGCCTGATTTCACCCTCTGCCAACATATTCTACAACTTCATTTAGTTTAGCCGTCATATTTGAACTCTAGAAAATATTACGTATGTTTTCTCGATTTTCACTGTTGAAAGTAGGGTTGGTAATTTCCTTCGAAGGCTTAGACATTTGAACTTCGAACCTTCGAAACTTTTCCCACAGTGGGGTAGGTTGTTACAATTTACCTACTGACAGAAAATTTCAATTTTTAGTATTTAAAGACACAGATATAAATTAGAATAAAAAAACTATTTAGTTAAAACTATACTTAAAGCAATGCATAAATACACATTAATTTATATGTATATCTTAGTATGGGAAAAAATTGTTAATTAAAAATTGTAACAACTTTCTGCAGTCTCCCCCACATCTGCAAATAATTCTATATAACTAAAAATAAGTAAATGATAAAGCAACAGTAATTCACGTTTTCGTAAACACAGCAAAAATTAATTTGTAAATATTTGAAATCTTATTGTGTATGTCAAATTATCTTTATTTTAGCATTTTAATTTTTGTCACAGTTTCAGCTTAAATTTCTTACTTATTAATTACTCACGAAGCGAAGTTTTTGAGTGAACATTAGCGTTTCATATCAACGAAAATTGCTATCAATAGTTTTTCAATGTTACTATACCTGTACCACCTTTTTCGCAAGTTTCGACAGTGCACCCAACAGCGTATATAGCATATATAAATGGCGTGACAAGTTTTTGCGGTCATTTTAACAACGTTAAAAGAGAATAAGATAAAAGTCAATATATGAATAAATGTTATGGAATACGTTTATTTATCGAACTACATCACATGTTATGCATCTACTATTATAAATTTGCTGTAAATATTTCAATATACATACATTGCACATTAAATTGTAACTAATTATTTTGTAATTTTTAATTTACTATCTTATATTTTAATATTAAATTTCAATAATGAAATAAAATGCTACAAGTTATAAAAAAGACTTTATTCGGATGATATCAAGACGTTTTATAAACATACATTATTAGTCGTCGCCGTCATAGACCAAAAAATGACCATACATAGACGTCTCTATGTCGTCTTTCGACATCACTCTGCTATTTGGGATATACCAATTATGATTGTCAAAATGTTTGCAT